CATTTATTTGAGTTTAATCTTTATTAGTAATCTTTATCAATAATCATTCTCTCTCCAGTTCTTTCCTTTATCAATAATCATTCTCTCTCCAGTTCTTTCCTTTGTCAATAATCATTCTCTCTCCAGTGACTTTAAATTTCCCTATTTAACAAATGTTTATTGAGGACCTTCTGTTATGCCAGGTATTGACCCAGGAAGTAGGGATATAGCGGTGAATAGGACAGACTCAGGCCCTGCTTTCTTGGAGTTTCCATAGTAGCTAGGGGAGACTGGCCATAAATATACAATGTTTCCTCATCAGACAACTAGGACCTCTCTTCAGCCTGCATTTGTGCCCTTAGCTGAATGAATGAACCTCGTCGAGTGGCTTTAAAGATCATATATATTCTGACAGCTTCTTAACCTGTATCTCTGGTTTAGTTCCCTGTCCCAAATTCCAGACTTGCACATCCATCTGCCTCTTGAACATCTCCACTTGGAAATTTAATAGACATGTCAAACCAAATGTGTGAGAATGGAATTCTTGATCTCCTCATCCCTGTCCCTCCCACTATCAAACCTATTCTTCCAAGGTCTTTCAGATCTTACGGCAATGAACTTTCAAGTTCTTTAGGCCAGTAACTTTGGAGTCATCCTAAATCCTCTCATTCTTTCACACTCTGCATCCAGTCAATCCCAAATTTTATTTCTTGAAAACCTATCCAGAATCTGACTACTTCTCACCACTTCCACAGCTTGTCACCCTGGCCCCAGCCTTCAATTACGCTTGCTTGACTATGATACCAAGTACCTAAGCGGTTTTCTTGCTTCTGCCTTTGACCTCTTACAGTTTATTCTCAGCACAGCAGCCACATGGTCCTGTTAAAACGAGGTTAGATTATATTACTCCCTATTCAAAACTCTAATGTCTCCCATCTCCTTAGAGTTAAAGCCAGTGTTTACAGCATCCTAAAAACCCCACACTACTGGGTGCCTTTCATCCCTTTCCTTCTGCCTCACTTCTCTGCCCACTACTGTTCCTTTTTTCTCACATCTCTAGACATACTGGCCTTCTTGTTATTCCTGGAAGAAGCCGGACATGCTCCTGCCTCAGGGCCTTTGCACTTGCTGTTTACTCTGCCTCGAGTGTTCTTTCGCTAAATAGCTCAATTGAGTCTTTATATATTTACATATATGTCGACTTATTTGGCTATTCTATTTATAGTTATACCCCCAACATGCCCTATCCCCATTCCTTGCCTTATTTTTATAGCACTTAACATCTTTTAACATACTACACATTTTGCATTCTTCTTTGCTGTTTATTATCTTTAAGCATCATAATGGCCGGTTTTTTTTTCTTTTGCCTGTTTTATTCCCTGATGTGTCCTCAGAACCTAAAACAGTGCTTGGCACACAGCAAGCTTTCAAATAGTGTTTGTTAAATGTTGAAAAAAATAAATAGTGGGTAGATCCTATGAAGACAATTTAAATTGTTTTTAAAAGTTTGAACGAGTTTTAAATGTTCTGTATGCCTGGGAATAATATAATTTAACAATTAGTTTATAGATAATTGTTATTTTTCAAAGTATTTCTCTTTTCCTGTTAGACACTTCTTTTTCTCCATATTTGGGGCACCTGATCCTTGATTAAGTTTTCTACATCTCTGAATTCATGGGAGAGGACATAATTCACTTTTCAATTGATCTCTGTGCTTCTAGCATGCCTCGTTGACATCTGCGAGCTAACATTTATTGAGGTGGACATCATACTGTTGTATATACTATATCAGTCAAGGCCCAATCAGGACACAGATGGCTTGTTCTAAAGAGGAAATTTAAAGGTAGTCTAATAAAAGGACTATTTATAAAGGTGTGGGCAGGGTTTAAGGAAACTTCAAGGGGTAGCCCTCTTTATAGAGGGCTCTGCGAAGTTCTCTTAGGCATGAAGGGACAAGGGGAGAGCGTGATTATCAGAACTTCGCAGAGCCCTCTATAAAGAGGGCCCCCTTAAAGGAGCTATGGGTTTCAGTAAAAGGACAGAACCAACATACTGCCTCCTAGAATGTAGGAAGCCAGGGAGACAAATACCCTGAGCTTACTCTTGTCCTGCCCTCTAGTGTTTTGCATGCTTTCCATGGACCCAACACAAGTGGAAGCAGGAAGGCAACAGAGCCCATTGGTGCAGTCTATATAGGAAGCCATACGGAGAAGAGAATGGTAGGAGGAGAGTGGATTCTGGAGAGGCAAAAGGAGGATAGTAATCACTCACACATTGTTTCATTTACTCCTCACCATAGCTTCATGAGATATATAATTTTTATTATTCCCCTTTTATAGATGAAGATACTGAGAGAAAGGTTAAGAATCAGCAATTTTCTAAAAATCCAATTTAAAAAATCAAATGGATATTGAATAGTGAACTAGGATTTGAACTCAGGCATGTCTGACCGGATTGCCCCACTGTAATTAAGGATAGCTTAGCTTAAGCAAGCAATTATGTGGTGGTCATCACCATCAGCAGACTATGCTAAATTCTGATTGGATGATTAGCTTGCTATCTGCTCCATCCAGTTGTCAGTGATGCATATTGCATAAGAACAGGTTCTACTGACCATTTTTTATACTCAAGTAATGCTGGCATTGTACATTGTATATAGTGCTTAATAGCTTTTGTTTTAAGTAAATACTTGACAATGTCCAATTAAACACATTCTGCTAATGAAATGCTCAATATCTAATGTCTTCCCCTTTAAAAAGCCTGATGGGAATATGGCTTTGGTATGTTACTATGGTGCAGTTTTACATAATCAGAACTTGCATGACAAACGGGCAACATATTCACATGCAGTGACTGGGTGTTCTGAATCTTTAATAAGGTAGGGAGAAGTTTAATTGCAGTCTAGCTCTAAGTCTATGGTCTTTCAAGGTCCCTGCACATGTGAGGTCCAGGGTGTTGGGCCAGGGCTTTTTAACCTTTTAAACTCCTCGCTCCTTCTGTCAAACATAAAAATTTCATGTGCCTCCCTAATCCGAATTTGTAATATGGCTTCCTAGGTGGGCATAGTCTCTCCTCTCATGATCTCTACACGTCCAGAGGCTTCATTTTTATGACTTGTGCATTGAATATGGCTTTTCAAACTAATACTAAACTAAAATGGCCACCCTTCACCTTTAGGGATTGCTGCCCCAGAGCCAATTCTGTTCCTTCCTTTCTTATTTCTCTCCCCTATTTATTCACCCTCCAACCATCTAGATCATATGAAGCACAGAGCATGTGCTAGTAGACACTTAACAACGTGAGCTGCCCCTTTCCTCCTTTCATTCTCAGTTTCTGTGCCAGGGTAGCCTTAAAAGAATCCTTCATCTCTTGAGCTAACTTTAGTGGGTGTCAGATCCTTTACACCAGGACAGTCAAATTAGAATACGCAGCTCGTAAGTCCTGAAAAGGGGATTTGAACCCCAGTTTTGTGGCTATGGAGCCCCTGCTCTTGTCACCACACTCTTTTTCCATATTACAAATGCTTCTCTGGTTCACTACGGCCCACGAGGTCACCTTAATGTGTCTGAAAAAAAAACAAAAAACAAAAAACAATAATGGACTTAAATTTCCTGAATCCATGTCCCAAGTCTTGGTCTGCTTTCAGGTCCCTGAATGGGAGGGTGGGGGTTAAGAAAGTCTCAGGCATTTGGGAGGTCTCCAAACAACTCTGGGGCAGGATGCCAGCTCCCAGGGAGGAAGG